AAAAATGTGAGACACCTACTTGTTAAAACCAGTGAAGAACAAGGGGTACTTTTTTATGATGGAAGAGGTGAGATTACTGGTAATGCACGGGAAATGGCTTTTGTGGCACTATAGAAAGGGGAAGTAGAAAAGGTAAAATAATGTGATGTCAGTTTCCTCAGTGGGTTCTGTAGAGGAGGCGCTGCACAACGATGCAAGTTTTAGGTCTTAGACACACACACACACACACACACACACACACACACACACAAACCAAAACAACATCAATCATGTTTCTGTTACAGTTAGAATCATTATTCTGGCTTTATAGATTCCAGTGTGACAGAGACCTTGAGAGAACTGAATGTCTTTCATAAATTCAAGTCACTTCCACTTCTTTGTAGGCTGGCCAGTAAAAACACCTTTTGAAACGTTCACCCGGAATCGCATTTTAAGTTGGCTTTCCTTAATTACAATTGCTTTTCCTGCTTCATTTAATTGCCAGTTTATTTCAATCCTTTCTTGCTCAGCTCCCCACCTCTGCATTGCTCCTTTCTATCTGATAATTCCTAGGCAAAACAGGGTGTTTTCCATGCATCCCACAGCTCTAAACACTGTTTCTGACTGCAAGAAAATGCAACAATGCAGTGTTGTAGAGGAAATACTTATTTTTCTATATTTTGAGTCACTGGCAGAAGTAAAGAGGCTTAATTTCTTCAGTGCACTTCTCATCTATACAGATCTGAAAAGAGCTCAAAGTGTGAACTTTTCATTCCATTTTCAAGATACCAAGAATCAAAGAATAATTTAATAATTTGGTAAAATAACACTGTTTCAAAATGGTCTCCTAATTGAGGTTTGTAAGAAACAAATGTAATGCATATTACATGTGATAAAGATTTTCATTTTTCATGCCTTGGACATGTAGGATTGATTTTCCTTGCTTGCTTCTCCCTGTGAAAAAACATTCATGTCTTTCCTACATTTGTTTGGGAAAGAACAAGGAAAGTGATCCAGCAAAACGTCAACAAATTCTTGTTTAAATTCATATTTTCCTAACTTATCAATCTTTCATATCTTGTGAAAACTTTCTTGGGGGGCAGAGTTTAGATTACAGAGCTATGAAAAAGGCACAGAAAACTTGTTCTGCCATTGCCTCAAATCCTCAGTGGCCAGTTTGGGAGGATTGAAAAGGAGTTTATCATGATGTGCAAATAACATGGCAGCAGTCTCCATTTGCTTAGTTATAAATAGCAGACGTGTAGAAAGACAACAGTGTATATTAATGTCTCTGTGGCAATCAGTGATCATTTAGCAACATGAAATCTCTCATTCAGAGATTTAAATATTTTGAATTCAAAATACCTAATCTTATTCACAAATTTGAGTCCAAGAATAGTCCCGCTGAGACCTTTCAATCACTGACATAGTTTTTGAGGAATTTACTTTTCAGACTAGACCTTGTAAAGCACTTGAATGCTTAATAATTAGGTGTGTCAGCCTTCTGGCTGCCCGAGCAGAAGCCAAAACCTCACCCAGATTTCCCTAAAGAGTGGACAAAGAGAGTCAAGCATCTCCAAATGAGATTTATAAAAGACATTTACTACAGCTGTTTCTGGAAATGTTGAGAGGAATAAGGCCACTTCTGAAAGCTCACATTCCTTCCAAATTTAGATTTATTTCTCAGCTGTGTAAGAGAATTTTTCCATTCACACAACATCACATCCCTGAACAGTCACTTGAAAAGAGGCGCCTATTTTTATCATCAGTAGGTACCTACCTGTGTAAAGCAGAATCTGGAAGGATAAATATGTAAATACCTACTCCCTCACACCAGAGAGAAAGCAAACTTCGACGTTCTTTTCTAAAGTGTACTCAGTAGCAGCAGTAGTGATTTTGTTGATGTCTGGAATTCCCTTTGTCTTCAAAGTGCTGGTCAGTTTTATCCTCTTTTTTAGATAAACCCCATCAGGTTGAAGATCTTCAAGGAGGCCGTGTTCTTCAACTATGCGATAGGTGATCCATAAAGTTGCTGATTTTATATGCAGTACGTAGAGAGATACGTAACAAAAAAAATCTATATTTCAAATCAGAAAAATCTCAATACATATACAAGCATCTTTGTATTGCAATATGCTGGAGTGTTGGCTTCAGCCTTCATTTGCATTTCAGAATGAAAATAGACACAAAGAAACCTGATATCATAACTCTCGCGTTTGCTTGCTGTTTTTTTTTTTTTTTTTCTTTAGTTCTTTTTCTCCCTCCCAGTCTTTCTTTGTTTTTAAAAGCAAGCATTTATATTTATAGACCTGCCGCAGGTTTTCTCCTTTAAAAAAAATGCTTCCACTAAAGCTAACACCAATAATAGTCTCAAGGGAGTCCAAACAGTAGAGTAACTGTGCAGAAATACAGGGGGATATTTAAACCAAGCAATCCTTGAATGCCATTTTGGTACTTTCTATAATCTGTTTGCATTTCTGAGATCTTTATTTCCTTTAAGAGGATGTTGAGGATTTCTGCAAGTTTAAAATAAATCATAACTTAAGAAGAAAGTAACAAACTGTGTTTCCTTTTAATTAAGCTCTGCAGCTTCTCATCTGATGTGCAATTTCTTGACAATAATAGAGAGAGTTCGTTGCCAAGCACTTGGAATGATTGTTTATTCCTTTCCTTCACTCATCATGTAGGCACATGCAGAGGAAAGATATGATTGGACTAAGGTGGGTACTGTGAAAAACGTGTTTGTTCACTTGGAAATTGGAATTTATTTATAAACTCCACAGATGGATCCTGATTCAATTTCAAAAGCTTTTGTGAATAATTAAACAAATGTGTTTGATGGTAAATTAAAGAATAAATTTCAGAAGTGAATTTCTGTTTATCTGGAACGTGTAAGTAGGTGGTGATTACGTGCAAATCATTACTGATTGAGACAACAGAGGCTTAACTGTTGGGTAGAAATGTGTTCTCTGTATCACAGCTCACGTTGTTTCTCTGACTTGTTTCTAACTTGAGAATATGTCTTAAAGCAGTGTTCTGAATTCTCCCCAGGTTCATATTTTCTCTGCTTTTTGCACTTCTTTCTGCCTCATTACAATTGCCAGAGATGCGAATTCTAGTGTCTTTTTTAACAGAGAAAGCAAGCTGAGGTTTATGAAAATTCTTGAGACTTTGGAGTTCCCTCACCCTCCCACTAGAATGCGTTGGGTTTGGGGATATAAGCAGGGAGAAAAGGTAACGTAGTTTTGTGAGGCATATTGGTCTAATGGAGATATTCCTACCTTTGTAAGTGTCCTGGATATCTCGTGGGTCCTGAAGAAAGCTAAACTTTATAATCAAAAGGAGGAAATAGAACTTGATTTTAAATTTCGAAGCATGGAACAGACCACATTTTTAAAATTTTACTTTGTATCCTGCTCTCCTTTTGTTTTAAAGTTAAGTTTGAAGTCTTTGACAGATACAGCTGAATGCCATTTGGTTTGCATTGTTAGTCACTGCTGTTCTCTTCACAAAATCTCAGACTGGTTGATAGGTAGCATTCAGATCCTCAAAATAGTGGGATGGTTCAAGCTGCCAAGAATTAATGCTTCTCTCTTGTTTGCGTTTGTCGTTTTCAGTGGTTTCTCTAGTTGGTTGTTTGTGTTGCTTCCTGCACAAATTCCTGCACAGATTTTGTCTTGGGAAAAGGTATTTTTTTTCCACCAATATCGAAAAATCGAGAACTAACTTTTCCTCCTCTAGGAGTATAACTCTGACGGAGACCAACTCAAGACGCCTGGGACAGACGGGCTTAGGCTCTGGTGGCGCAAGAAGCAAAGTTTATTGTTGTTACAGCGTTTTTATATCTTTTAGCTACAGGAGTGTACAATACTTAAATCAGATAACATGCCCAATATGTTTCTGCTTTACAGCCATGATGTAGGATCCAAAAGGTACTAAGGATTAGGGCCACGAGTCGTATTCTCACTTGCATCTTTCTTTCCCACATCTGGGTTAGTGTCAGTCTCTGCATCTTCCTCCGCAGTTTTCCCATCTTTGTTTTCGGCATGTCGGACATATCTCTCCTGTATCCACCATGGTGAGGTTTCATCTGTAGGGAAAACACAAACATATCCTCTGCCCCAAATTAGTACAGGATCAGGACTATAAATTTTACCGTCCATTGGATTTCTCCAATATTGTATTGGTTTATCTCTTGTTTTATTACTCCAATATCTATTTGCAGCCAATTTTCTGTTATCATCCAGTGTCAAAAAATTTAAAACAAATAATGCATGTGATAACATAGAGGATGGAGTATCTTTATTTCCTCATGCCCCACTTTTATTTTCTTTAGTTGAGTTTTCAATAAATGATTAAATTTTTCTACTATGCCTTGGCCTTCTGGATTATATGGAATTCCAGTTTTATGGTAAATTTTAAAATGTCGACAAAAGGTTGCAAAACCGTTACTTACATAAGCTGGCCGGTTATTGGTTTTTAATGATTTCATTGTTCCCATAACGCTAAAACAATGCAAAAGATGGTTGCATACATGAGAGAGTTTTTCACCAGACAAGGCTGAGGGCTACTGCAAAGTGAGAGAAAGTGTCAATTGTTATATGGACATAAGAAGATTTTCCAAAAGAAGGTACATGTGTGATATCCATCTGCCATAAATCATTAGGCATTAATCCTCAGGGGTTCACTCCAAAATGAGGAACTGGTAACAAAGGGGAGCAAGAAGAACCGTTCCGCATATTCGGAAGTCCGAAGCAAATATTCACCTTCACTTAACACAGCCTTTGCCAAGCTTTTCCAGTCAGAAGGGGGAAGAATATTAGCAGCTTTAAGCTCTTTCAGTTGTTTAAAAGGAATAGGCTCATAATCATTCAGAATGCCACCGTTTGCAAGTTGATGCTGTATGACAGGGAAAACTTGAGACGGAAAAAGTTGCCCAGAAAATTCATCTATTGTTTCCTCAGCTTTCCTAGCTTCTTTCAAAGCCAATTGCATAGGAGATTGTTGCATAAGCAAAGCATCTACTCCAGGCTGGGGAGGCATTCGCCCTGCTCGAAAGGCAGGCAAAACAGCAAGGGGATCTTTGATCGAGCCTGATCGACTATCTGTTGTGTCTGCACAGCGGCATTAGCAACCTGTAACGCTGGGAATACAGCCGCTAAGTCCTTATGGTGATATTCAGCAGCCTCTTTTTCTAATTCTCCCCAATCATCAGGGGGTAAAATATCCTTTGTTATGTTAGTGCCAGGAGGTTTACAAGGCGGTAAGTCGTTTGCTAATTTACAAATCAAAGGTTGCTCATATTGGGGAGGGGATGGTGGGGGTGCCGATGGCATGGATGAAGGGATATGATCAAGAGATTTTGATCGCGGCAAGGCAGGATATAACTTTTCTGTTGAGCGAGTGGTCCACTGCCACTTCTCATCTCCTGTGTCTCCTCTGAGACATTCTTTTATTAGAGTCCAAAGTGTAAAGGTATCAATAGGTACCTTCTCAGGACCATGCACAGCATAATAGCCCTGGAGTCTTTCACCTACTTTGTTCCATGTTTCAATATTAATAGTTCCATCCCTGGGAAACCAGGGGCATACTTCCTCTATAAAATCTAAAAAATGACTAATCTGACCCCGAGTCACTTTTACTCCTCGGGCAACTAATAATGATTTCAGCATTGCAGAAAAAATGCCTCGTTCAGCACTTGCAGCTTGTCCCATTTTATTTAACAATCTGTCCAATTCCCTAGTCCTTACCTCCCTATTTCCACTTACCAACCGCGGCTCGTGGGAGGAAGCGACGCCTTTGTCATTGGAGTCCGAGATTCCCGGGTTTCGGCACCAAATGACGGAGACCAGCTCAAGACGCCTGGGACAGACGGGCTTAGGCTCTGGTGGCAAGAAGCAAAGTTTATTGTTGTTACAGGGTTTTTATATCTTTTAGCAACAGGAGTATACAATACTTAAATCAGATAACATTCATGCAGCTGACAGCAATACATCATTACTTAATTAGCTCTTTGTGGATTATGGTCAGTACAGTGATCGAAAGGTGTTCTCTCCACAGAAAATGTTCTGCTCTTGGTCACGGAATGAAGAAGCTGTAGCTTATGCTTGCCAGTTTCACATGGCAGTCCTTCCCTTTCAGGAGGGGCCACATGTTTCATGTGGCAGTCCTTCCCTTTCAGCAGGGGCCGCATGTTTCACATGGCAGTCCTTCCCTTTCAGGAGGGGCCACGTGTTCCCTGTTTGACCCTTTCAGGCCAGCCAGGTCTGTTTTGCTTAACAGTCTTCCTCATTCCACCCTTTTTTATTTTATTAGACCAGAGGTGGTGGTGGTTCATTTTTTGTGTTGCTTCCTGCACAAATTCCTGCACAGATTTTGTCTTGGGAAAAGGTATTTTTTTTCCACCAATATCGAAAAATCAAGAACTAACTTTTCCTCCTCTAGGAGTATTACTCCATTTTTTACATTCAGGATCTGGGGACAATACGGGAAGATACACAGGATCATACTGTAGCTCATGACTCTTATATAGTTTCATTCTGAGACTTCTTAGCAGTGGGGAATATGAAAGCCTTAACTGGTACTAAAGCTTCTGGTGAATTTGAGTTTCTGCTTGTACAAAAGAATGTCTAAGGCCAGTGCTGTGATTTGTCTATGTGTCCAGACTAGCTCAGCTTTGCCCCCCAAAAATCAGGAGGAATCATCACCATGTGAGCCTTTTGTGGAACTCTCCTCTGTTTTCCCAGCTTCCTATAGTTTGTCTTGTGGCTCTCAAATTCATGAGGGTATTCTATGTGTTATTTGTATGGTCACTGTTGCATGGCTAAACCTGCACACGTGAGCGAACTTAGCAGTCATCTGAAGGACTACAAGTATGTTTTGCTTGAGATTTTTTTTTTCTCTTTAGAATTGATATTTCAACGACCAAAGATATATCAGGAGTTATATTCTATACCTCTGTACTCTGCTACCACACTTGAAAGAAGATGGCATTATGTATTTCATGGTTCTGAGCAGGTGCAAAAATGATTAATTAATGATGTTAAAATAATCTCAACCAAAAAAAAAGCTTGTGTTTAGACCAGCCCTCGTACTCATGTTTCAAATGTTGTAACCCTTTTTTTCAATGACTTCTGTCCTACATTACCACTCTGGTCAAAAGAATTTACAACAAAATTATAGCTGCATAGTTGTTGTTTCCAATATTCTGTAGCACTGCATGCCATGCAAAAGTGACCATGATTTGCAAAGTAGTAGTTATGTGTAGAATGAGTTGAAGAATTTGTAATAGCAAGCAGTATACAAGGCAAAAATTAACTTAAGGTGTTGATCTTGCTGTATTCTAATTGAATTACGCAGCCCAGAACACGGTAATGTCTGCCCATGACAAAGGCACCAAGTGAAGTATAAGTGAATCAATTCTTCTTTTGGAGTACACTGTAAGAAACCATTGAGGACCAGTCTCATAAGTTGAAATTCAGAGTATTCCTTATTTTCCACCCAGTAATTGGCCATCTGCTGGGAATCTCTCATTCTTCAGGGATGATGAAATGGATTCTTGGGGTGTGTAAAATCCACTGTGTCTGTGAGATGATCAATAACACGAGTACAATATGGGTTAAATGATATACGTCCTTTCACACCAAGTAATGAAGTGTACTTGCATTCCAAGAGAGGAAGTTTCTAGCTGGGTTTCATCCTGACAGCTGTGTGACTGAAAGCATTCTTTGTCTCCAGCAAAGCCTCTGAGGAGTGGCATATCCCACCACAGCGTGATTAACTCCTATGACTGGTTTCAGAGTCTGTTCAGGTGTTACAAGTTTCAGTTGTGTGGCAGAGGAGATATGGGATGCTCTTCAGTGAATCATAGGTTCATAGTTACAAAGGAATAGTCATCTCATTCATCGCTCAGCAGGGGTGAGCATGTTCTCATAATTTTCAGATTAATTTTTTCTCTCTGAATTTTATCTTTCACACCAATTGGATCTCTGGAAGAGTTTCTTCTTGCTGAATGATGGATGCAAGACTTGTTTCTGTGGCCAATAATTTCTTATATGACAAGGCCAAAATCTGTTAATAAAATTAGTTTCTTGCTAAATAATTGCCTAAATCCATACCAGCAAAATAGAAAATCTTGCAGAACCTTGCAAAAGAAAAGAGAAAAAAAAAAAAAAAAAAAAGAGAAGGTGGGAGAGGGACATACTTCCCCAGACTTCATTGGGTGATACAATCTTTCCTACTTGAAAAATCACAAGCAGCATTACTAGTAACAGAGGACTAAATCTTGCAATATGCTGTGTTCTTCAGGTTAGTTTTTCTCTGGGGACCCAGCAGAAAAGAGCAAAGAGGTGTATCCAGCTTGTATATCCAGAGCTATGTAGAATCATGAGTTCCTGAAAGCCATAGATCATCATGAGAATGAATTGGGCCCTAGCTAGTTAGCTCTATCTGCAAGTCTAATTATCTTGTATGCAACACTCTATACTACGACTCCAACATTTTCACCTCCGAAGCAGGCTCAGCTGACAGCTGGCTAGGGCTTTCTTTGCTATGCGGGCACGCATACGCATGCTCACTACCTTCCTATGGGAGAAGGAAGAGGACCAAGGCTCTCCAGAAGAGCCTCCCACAGGCTTGATTTCTTTCTCTGGTTCAATATTCCACTAGAATGGAGTAACTTCAGTGTGAATGCTTGAGAGAGTCCTGGCTCAAGGGGACCAAGCAGTCCAATGCCTAGTGCGCACTTTCAGGACAGCACAAAAGAGTGCAATCAAGTACTTTGGTCTTACCTGCTCATAGATGTGTATGCAATTCTATAGTATTGGCTGCATTCTAACTCAGAAAATCACTGTGTGAATAACTAAGACTATACTTGCTGACAGAGATAACACTTATTTCTGTTCTCTGGAATTCTCATCCTTAAAAATGTTGTGCAAAGGAGCTGCTGTGTTCTTTACATGATGCACCCATATTTTGGAGGAAGTGATTCATTTCTGGAGAGGCACAGTCTGGGTCTCCTCAGACATTCAGTGAGAGTTCCTGGGTGCTTGTGACTAGCAGTGTATAGTCTATCTTTTTTATTTTTCAGTTTTCTATGAGTGCTTCAGTTAATTCTCAGATGGGCTTAGCTTGGTATAGAGCAACATATTCTTTAGTAGCTTAGTTCAGTAAGGACTGGGCCATGCGAACTGAGTTTCAAATATCTGTCTGTAGAGAAAAGAATTAAGAAGAGAGGAAAAACTAGCTAGACTGGGGTTGGAGAACTGGATTTGAATATGGGAGGGAGAAGTTAAAAAGGAATCCTTAAATACTTGAGATAAGCTCTAGTATCCTTATATCTTTATTTGAACCAGACTGTTGAACATTCATAGCCTGTCTATCTCACATCTATGCCCCTTGAGATATGCCTTGTATAATTCATCACTTAGAGAGTAATACATTTGTAAGAGTTGATGTTGATGTAGATCTATCCCTCCTAGGCTAGCTAATACCAAACAGTGATTTCTTCCTGTATAAGGGAAAGAAGCTTTACAGGAGTTCCCTTGATGCATTCCATTTTGTCCCAAGATTTTCAGAAACCTGTTTAATACAATATTCTTTATGGTACTGTCTGGCATTTCCTGCTTCCTAAATAGTGCCATGCAGATGTTATGCTCGTACCAGATTTGTCTGGCTTTTTCTCCCTTCTGTCCTCCCTACCCATTCCTTTAGAAAAACGTTTCTCTAAACTCCTTGTAACAATTAAAGAAGAGTTCACAACATCATTGTAGAAAGCAAACATGGTGGAGTGTGAATTCTAGATAAATTCTTATGTATGTAAACATCTTCGTCATAATGTATCTTTCAAAATGTAGGAAGAGGGGCTTTTTGCAGATAGGACTCCCACGTGCAGTGGACAACAGGTAAACTGCAATCTCCCTTGTAGTTCTCATATCCATTTGTATGTCACCAAATTTGCTCTCATATTGTATCTGTAAAATCTCAGGTGACTCAGACATGCATCATTTCTTGTAAACTCAATGTAAATTGGCTGAAACTTTAACATCTCAAGGAGCCTTAATAGTTTTCCAGATCTAACTTGTTCAACATGCTGTTCAGACATGACCTGCTTAATCTTTCCAACACTTCAATAAAATATTTAGCATACATAAATAGTGTTTTAGAGTTGAACAAATAGCTCATAATACTTTATTTATTACCAATTGTACATTTCTACAAATTAAGAAGTTGTGAACATAGTGCAAATATTTTAGATGTGCATTATTCAGAAGAATTTGGTATATTTTTGAAACGTGTTTTCTTTACCAATGAATCACAAATGACTGAAATGCAGTATCCAGGAACCAAAGATAAAATGGGGTTGGTTAATAATGGTAATCATGTGATGCTCTGCTATTTGATGATTAGTCTATTTATATAAGTCTCCAACATGGTGCAAATTTTGTAATTTACAATTGCATTAAACAATAAATTTCATTTTTTTATGTATAGAATTTCTGTCCAGCAAATTTCTGCTTCTGAAAGACCCTGTCAGGTCTTATGTCTTTCAAAAACCAACTTGAACTGACTGCAACTGAATGCAAGCACATTTCAAAATCATATTCAAGTTAATATTTTTCCTCTCTTTTCTCTGTCTTTTGTAGACTGTTGGAGAGAATGGACACAGTATTGTGTGACTGTCTCAAGTCTGTAGAATTAACCCCTACTCAGACTGGAGAAGGAATACATTTCCTGGATTCTTGATCTCTCTTTAAGCCTCTGTGCCAGAGTGCCTTGCTATTATGCTTTTAAAGGACAGAGATATCGAGGTCCAAAACAAACGCTATTGTTGTTCAATATCCTTAAAGAAAAAGACAAAGAAAATCAGCACTTCAGTAATACCAGCTTTTGGTCAACAGGAAACATGCACCCAGATTAAGCTGTATTATGCCAGGTATGTTATGAGAAAAAAAAACCCACCAAACTTCATTATATAATTGAACTCTTACCAGCTGTGTCATAATATTTCACATGAGAGACTTTTTTTTTTTTTTAATTTGATTCTTTTCATTTCTGTAAGACTAGCTTTCATTGTTACTTAAGCCAAGTGATGATGTAGGCAATGGATGTGTGGTCTAATGTGACAATTCTCAGTTCTGTGATTAATTCATTCTGTTGTAATAGCATTCAGCTCTTCTCTTACATATTTATTTAACAGAAATTCAGGAACATGGAGAAGTGAAGTTCATTAGCGGGGGGCCCTGAGTGCTGCTAGTTGTCAGGCTCCTTGTTTACCAGCTGGGCCATGGAGACAGCTGTCTAGGCATGGGCTGTTTTGCCCAAGTGTAAAGGATCAAGTCTG